TTAGCAGTATATTTTTGTGTAGTTTTAAAAGATGGTTATTGTTCACGTATGGAGAGCTTCGCTTTCTCTCCCATGCCATCTTCACATCAGAAAGAATCCATGTATCTTATCTGCTTAGTTATTATTCTCTGTCAGTGTCTTTGGGCTTGCAGTTATTATGCTTAGTTCTCTTCAATCTGTGGCCTCAGAGTGAGTCTATGTTTTTCATTCTCTCTCCAAATAGATCTATGTCTATACTGGCTCTAGCATCTAATTTATGGGATTATCATCGCTAATCCAGCAATTAGTCCTTCCTCTCATCCATCTTCTCTGGTTTATTTTCTATAAGCAGAACTAGTTAATGAATAAATTACTTTGTTTATGTGCCCACATGGATCAGAATAGTAAGAAGTGTCATATACTGGAGAGAGAATAGAGTAAAGGCTAAGTCTGTAAATCCACATTATCTAGGTTTAAACCTTTGCTCTGTTACATAAATGGACAGTTGCTGGCAAGTTATTTGCCTTTCTGTTTCCTATGTCAAATGGAAATATTGACAGTATTTGACTCACACTCAGTGGAGCAGATTAAATGACATTATTCCTGTAAAGTGTACAGAAGGATATTAGGCATAGAGAGACCACTCAATAAATGATGTTTTATTGCCATTAAAGATGAGCAGGCAGGCTTGGAAAAAGATTTCCCTCTTCTACTTTTGCTTTTGAAGATAAAAGCATGTCCCTGTCTACATTTTTAGGATTTCACATCTTTGTGGTCAGTATTTGCTGTGGGAGGCCATGAATAAATGTGATAAATTGGGATGACTTTCGGGAAAACAAAAGATTTGGATTGTGATTAAAGAAAACTCATGGTAGGGCAAACAGTAGGAAAGAGATTGCAAACTGTGCCAGACGTCAGTATCGAAGAGTAAAGACCAATTGTTAAGATGCCTCTAAAACAAATGTGGCTGGAAAAGTATGCAGAGTTTATGAGGATGATGAAAATGCTGATCTTTAGGAAAGTCATGTTACAAAAGGGAAGGTCACTTGATGACTGCCATGGAACTGTCTGGTATGTGATGATAGAGGACACATCTGTCCCAGTATAGATTGTTTTACGATGGAGAGTTTTAAATCCTTTGTGGACAAGTCTGTACTGAAGCCTAGAATTCAGAATTAGAAATTCTGGATTAGATCCATTTGGAAAGTCTTGATTATTTCCTAGTTTCATCTTTTAGAATTTTTCTACAGCATGTTGACAGTTGGCCTCTGCCTTAACATCTCTTAAGCTCAGTTGGATCCCTGTACAGCAGGATTACCCAGTCCTCCTTTGAACAGTTCTGATGTACAGCAAGGCATTTTAACTTTGAGCTACTGATTATCTCCTCATTGTTTATCTTCCTAGTTGTAGAGTTGGTTTCTTTCACTCTGCTGTGGTATGAATGTTTGTCTCCCCACAAATTTATTTATATGTTGAAATCATAACCCCAAAGGTGATAGTATTAAAAGATGAACTTTTGGAAAGTAATTAGGTCATGAAGGTAGAGTCCTCATGAATGAGATTAATGTTTTTTATAAGGGTTTTTTTTTAAATAAGGGATTTTTAAAATAAAGGTTTATAAAAAAGGCCTAAGGGAGCTTGGTAGCCCCTACCACCCTGTGAAGACACAATGTAAAGGTACCATCTCAATTTGTATATGGGATTTTTTTTATAGTAGTGGGAGTAAGCCAAATGGACTAAGACAGGCACTCACAGCAGCTTGATCCTGTATCTATCCTGGCAATTACCATAATTGTTCACTTACCCCAGTAATGTTGAAGTATTACAGTTACACTGACCAAGACTAATCTCTGACGAGCCATCAAAACTTTGAGGACAACTGTGACTGCAAACAAGTCTCCAGCAACTTTTATCCAACTTACAAACAATGTTATTTGTGAAAATACATCTTTGTATATATTTTTTTAATTCAATTTTTCTCTTTAAGTATTGATATTTTATGCTTATTCCAGTTTGTGTACATTTTGAGAAAGTCATAACACTGTTGGTTACTTGTGCTGCTTACCTCCTTAAATCATCATTGGAAAGCCTTCTGACTTCTTTGGCTAACCATATAAAACCATAGGAGGATTTGGTATTCACTCCAAATAGACTATGATAGTGTCAATTTCAGAGCTATGCCTTTGTTTTTTAGGAGCTCTTGTGCCTAACACAGTGCTTAGAACTTTTCAAAGTTTCCATATGTTTCCATGGATGAATAATAAAATGAAAATGTCACTAAATTATTAAATTTTTTTTTTTAAAGAAGACCCTACATTATTTTGGCTTTTCCTGAAATGTTTAGGAAGCGCCCTGATTCTTCTGGGAATGTAACATTATTTGAAATCATTAGGACTTTAGTATTTTTGCTTATGATTGTTTCTTTTCATTTCTTAAGTGCACATTTTGAATTAGTTTTTAGAAACTGAGTTTTGGAACCTCTGAGCCATGCTATTAACCAAGTAATTTAGCAGTATGAAAGTGCTTTTAGGGACAAAGATCCAGGGGAAATAATTTCCCTTCTCACCACTGACTAGAACTTTGAAAACTGCCATTTTACCTCCTGAAGTTAGTGATAGCAGTGAGTAGCTTCTGTATCTATTCTAAATGCAGCCTTCCACAGCGCTTTTATAAAGCTTGCACTGGCATCCCTGAACATCCTGTTAATTAAGAATTCACAGCCCTGTTTCTCCTCCATTCTCCTCCATGGCTGTGCTGTCAGGTTTTGCTTTTCTTCCTTAATAACGGAAACTGAAATTAGAATTCCGAGTGGAGGCGTCACTCCCAAAGGAGACAGAGAACACCATGCTCTTCTGAACTTGTTCTTTCCTAGAGCATCTGTCAGTTATGGCTCACTTGTTAAAACGTGGACATTTCGCCATTCTGTCATTCACTTAGAAATAGTGTATACCCCTTGGGCAAGTAGTTTCTTTGCAGAAAGAAGTGTAATAGAAATCCTTAGTTAATAAATCACTATTTTAACCATGCCCTCATGAATATAAACAACACTTTTCTCAAGTAGCCTGTTGGTAGATAACTCCAATTTAAAGTCCTTTTGAAATAAATGGGGGTATTAATATCTACCTCACTGGGTTGTTGTTACTATTAAGTGAGCTAATGTATTTAAATTGGTTTGCATTATGGCTGAGAAATAACAGGCAGTTAATAAAGTTTATTATTGTTAATATCTTTATAGTAATAAGTACATATGTAACATAAATAAAACAAACTGCTAATTATTTAACTAAATTTCCAGAGAGCCTAGGGAGTGAGCAAGAATCTTACTGTAAATCAGCCCTAAGATTGCAGTCATAAGCGTGAAGGATCAACCTGCTTTTTATTTTGTACATTTCTTTTAAATCAATTAAATTTGATGAATTTTGAATAGAAAACAGATAATTGACAAGAATAAAAGAGCCTTCATATCACTGTTAATGAATGCATGACTGCAAAAGACTTTGATGTATCATAGTGAAGATGTAAGTTCATTTCTGAACCCAACCGAAGATCAGGTTGCTTATTCTCATGGCCCATTAACAAGATGCAGATGAACTGGAAATGAAGGGAGGTTTTCATTTCTGTAACTGGTTATGGGGAGAAGGCCTGGAAATTTTCACCAGATCAACTCAAAATTACAAAGTTTTCCAGAGCTTGTATATCTTCTGAGCTACATGTCTATGAGTAAGTGTGCATTAATCTTAAGATATAAGTGATTCACTCCTTTGAATCTATAACTAAGATTTAAGTCCTGAAGACCTTTCCCTGGAGTCTCAGTAAGTTTACTTCATCTAGATGGGTCCAGGTGTCAGGGGTGATTACCCTTATCTTGTCTCCTGCTAAATCATGGAGGTTAGGGGAATTCCTTTAGTCCCCAATAAAGCTTGTTTGTGGAGGTCTGGGGAATTCCTCCAGACCCCCAGTAAAACTCTTTAGATCCTAAAGGGGTCATGTTAAGAATTCTTTTGTTATCTTGTCATGCATCAAGGTCCAGGAAAGGCCAATGCAAAACTCTTGGTGGGCTTTTGTTACATTCCAGCCTTTGTATGAGGGCACTGGCTCTATCAGATTTTAACATTTAACCTAACTACTCAGTGCTGAAACCGTTGTAATGGAGGTCTGCATTAGTGAGACCTGGCCTACCCAAGTTGACATACTCTGCACCTTCCTACGACATAGTATTTTTATTTTCTGTTTTAAAGCCCAAGGAGAACTGATTTTGGTAGCTGGCTTTTAAAGGCCATTTCCTTTCTTAACTTAAGTTTCAGCTTAAGTATATGTTTCAAAGCTAAGTATACATAAAGCTGCTAAGTTTGTATTTAACATGACACACCAAATGTATATAGGCTGTTGATCATTTCTTCTGAAGAATAATATTGTCTTTATTTTACACAACTTCAATTTAATGTGCAGTTGAAGTGATAACTGTTTCTTATGAAGAAATTTACTAATTATCTCACTTAAAATTTGTGTTAAGAGTTACAGCAACTTGCTTTCCAAAAATAGACAAGAAGTAAGGTTAAAAAAATTTTTGTTAAGTTTACCGTATTGTTTTAGAAAACATAGTGTTCGGTAGAAAGTCCCGCCATCTTTCCCCCAGGTTTCTTGCCCCCACCCTCCCCCCAGGCTTCCTGCTGCCCTGAGAAAAGCCCGCCAAGCCTGCTCTGTTCTGCCCAGCAACAACAAGCAGCCAATCATCGCAGCAGGAAAGCCCGCCAAGCCTCGGCCTATCCTGAACCGACACGTAACCCTCTGAGCCACCTCAGCAGTCTGCCCAGAGACGGACAGCTTATCCTAAGCTCCTACGACACTCCGCCAGCCCTGTATCCACACCCCGTCCACCCCCCCCATAAAACCCTCCTACCCCAGCTGCGCAGTCGCAGCCAGCCCCGATCTCCTTCCTTTCTTGGCCTGCCCGCTGGTCCCAATAAACCTGAACTCAGCTTCCAACTCTCGAGCTGTTACTTGGGGTCGGGTACCGGGCAGGGGTCTACGAGGGGGTCGCACATATGGTGCCGGAAACCCGGGACGGAGGGTCGCTAGCTCCCCTAGCGACCCCCTCCCTCCAGCGACCTCCCCAGCCCTCCTCCAATTCGGCCTCAGCACTCCGGACCAGGTAAGTCCTGTTTCTTACCTTCTCCTTCCGTGGTGCGTGTGGCAAAGGCCCTTCCTCTCAGTCCCAATCCACGGATCCCTTGCCAAGCGCCGGCTGGCCCGAGCAGGATCCCCCAACCAGGCTCCAGGAGCCTTGGGTTGGCAGACAAGGGACGCCTTCTCTGACCCACCCAATCCAAAACCATTAAATAGGAACGATCAGACAGGGGACGCCTTCTCTGGTCTTTCCTATCCACCTTCCTCTGGGGAAGCTGGTGGGTTGGAGGGACGCCTCCCCCCACACTACCCCAGCCCACTCGGATACTGTTCCGAGCTCGGATACTGTTCCGAGACCGCCCTCGGCTGGCAGGAACCCTTTGCCGCACGCATCATGGGGAGCGTGGAGTCCAAAATTCCTAAAAACGCCCCACTAGGTTGTTTACTTCTCGACTTTACCCGCTTGGGCTACTCCCAAAACCCTTAGGCGGAAAAAGCTTGTCTTCCTCTCCCAGGTGGCCTGGCCCCAGTATCAGCTCGATAACAGGTCGCATTGGCCTCCCACCGGCACTTTCGATTTCAATGTGCTCCGCGACCTAGATAACTTCTGCCGCAGAACTGGCAAAGATAAGGAAGTGCCTTATGTTCAGGCTTTTTGGGACCTGCGTTCCCATCCTGACCTCTGCTCTTCTTGCTCCACTCACCAAGTTCTTTTAGCCCGAACTCCCCCACCGCAGACTCCTACCTCCCCAACCAAGCCACCTCCCTATACTCTACAGGAAGAGATGCCTGACCACATGTCTTTCCCCTTTGTTCCCACTCCAGAAGTCCACTACCTCTCCCCCTCCCTACTCCTCACCAGAGTATCTGCCTGAACATCTATCCTCTCCAGCCAATCTCAGCAACCAGTCGCCATCAACGGCACACTCTTCCTCTGCTCCCTCTGCACCTCCTACCTCGGAGGCCATGCCTCGCTCTCCCTCTACTCCCTCCGAGCCCCCTCCCTCAGAGGCTGTACTTCGTCTTGCCTCTCCGGTGGCGGCGCACACCCGCTCCCACCAGCCAGCTATCCTGGCCCCACTCTGAGAAGTAGCAGGCGCAGAAGGTTTAATCAGGGTCCATGTTCCTTTCTCACTCCAAGACCTGTCCCAAATTGAGAAACGTTTAGGATCCTTCTCAGCCAACCGGTCCACCTATATTAAGGAATTCCAATACCTCACTCAAGCCTACAGCCTCACTTGGCATGATATTCGCGTTATCTGTTCCTCTACCCTCACAGTGGAGGAGCACGAGCGCATCCTCGCTGCAGCCAGAAACCAAGCAGATAAAGACCATGCTATAGATAACCAGATCCCCCTAGGCCCCGAAGCAATCCCAGGTGAAGACCCCCAATGGGACTATCAGGCTAATCAGAGGGTCTGATATACCCAAGAGGGACCGCATGATCAGATACCTCCTCAGGGGAATGGATGCTGTATCTAACAAAGTTGTAAACTATGATATACTGAGAGAAATCACCCAACTACCTGATGAGAACCCCGCCCTCTTTCTCGCCCGCTTGTAAGAAGCCCTAGTCCGGTATACTCGACTAGATCCAGCCCCTCAAAACGGGACCACTGTATTAGCCTCCCATTTTATCTCCCAATCAGCACCTGACATAAGAAAGAAACTAAAGAAAGCAGAAGAGGGGCCAGAGACTCCCATCCAAGACCTGGTAAAAATGGCCTTTAAAGTATTCAATGCCAGGGAAGATGCGGCTGAGGCTGCCCGCCAAACTCGCATGAAGCAGAAGGCTGCCCTCCAGACCCAAGCCCTAGTGGCGGCTCTAAGGCCGGCAGGGAACCAGAAGCCCAAGGCCGAAACCCATGCCCCTCCGGAAGCATGTTTTAAATGTGGAAAGGAAGGACACTGGTCCCGAGCCTGTCCACAACCACGGCCACCAACTAAGCTTTGCCCTATCTGTCAGCTCCCAGGACACTGGAAGTCAGACTGCCCCAGCTTCCCCAGGGTGCCGGTTCCTCAAAACAGACACACTGGCGTTACTCAGCCGGCGGTCACCCTCAGTAGGGAGGAGCCTGCTTGCCAGGAGCCGACCTCCAAGGGAACTCCATTCCCCAGGCTATTAGGGCTGCTAGACGACTAGCGGGGCCCTGGCTTTCCGACTCCGGTTACCCTTGCCGAGCCTAGGGTCACAAGACATGGGGGCTACCTCCTCCACTCTTCCTTCTTATTCTGGCCGTCTCACCCCTTCCCAGGTCTCGGTCATGGGAATCGATGGGACCCCGAGTATCCCCTACCAAACCCCACCACTCATGTGCTCATATAACTCCACTCCATTCACCCACTCTTTTTAGTAATCCCCACCTGCCCAGTTCCCCTTCTGGGGCGAGACATCCTTTCAAAGCTGAAGGCCGTCATAACCTTCCCCACTGCCAGCCCACACAGCCTTTTTCTCCTAGCCCTCAATACTCTGCCTTGGAACTCCAGGCCCTCCAGTCTACCCCCGGGGTACGGTTCAAGGATGACTTGGCCTTCAAGCATAACCTCCTCATCCTCCCTGAAAAGCAAAGGTACCAGATAATCCAAGACAGCCATAATTCACTCCACATTGGGCCTAAAGCCTTATACCGATTCCTCAACCCACTTTTCACCCTCACCATCTCCTCAGTACCATACAGGAAGTCCAGTCCTCATGTACTGTCTGCACAAAAACTAATTTCCAGGGTTCCTGTCATCCTCGGCGCCAACTTTATCAGCTACGCGGGTTCCTACCTGGCTAAGACTGGCTAATTGATTTCACCCATATGCCAAAGCATAAACAGTACCGGTATCTGCTAACCATTGTTGACACTTTTTCAGGCTGGATTGAAGCTTACCCCACAGCCTCTGAGTCTTCCGGGACAGTAGCCACTCATCTCATTCAAGACATCATCCCACGCTTTGGACTCCCGGCTACCATACAGTCAGACAACGGCCCAGCCTTTATCTTCAAAGTCACTAATGCCGTTTCTACCTCTCTAGGAATTCAGTGGAAGCTACACACCTCCTACCATCCTCAGTCCTCTGGTAAGGTGGAACGGGCCAATGGCCTAATAAAGGAGCATCTGACCCAGCTCATGCTTGAGCTCTGCCAATCCTGGGTAACCTTGCTTCCTATCGCCCTCACCAGGTTGAGAGCAAGCCCCCGGGGCCCATCACCGCTTAGCCCATTTGAGCTGCTGTATGGTAGCCCCTTCCTACTTTCAACTCCCCCACCGCCAGAGACCACTCCTCTAGACAGCTACCTCCCCTACTTTACTCTCCTTCGCAGTCTTCTCCAAGAACACGCCAACGCTTCTCTTCCCCAACCCACCCAGCCATCTGAAAATACACAGAAAGTCTCCCCCGGGGACTCAGTTCTTATCAGGTCCCTCTCCCCAAAGCCCCTCATCCCCAAGTGGGAAGGACCATACACAGTCCTCCTTACCACTCCATCAGCTATAAGAGTTGCTGAAATCCCATCTTGGGTCCACCTGTCTCGGGTAAAAAAGGCCCCTCATGGACCCTCCTTATGCTGGAAGTCTGTTCCTACTGGCCCTTTATCTGTCAAACTTACCAGGGCCTAGCAGCCACATTCCCTACAGATGGAGATTCTTCCTAACTGAAAACTATACCAAAACCACCTTCATCTGTAATACCCCTCCATACAGCCACAACCATCTTCTTGCAACTTCCGACTGCCCCGCAGCCGGATGCCAAAGGGCCATATATCTGAACTTCACCAAATTCCATAACATCCATACTGATATACCCCTCATGTGCTTCAACCATGACCAACCATCAGGAGCATGCAATAATACTCCTTGGCGCTCCTGCATGGGATGTACTTGGATGAACTGTCGACTACATATAGCCGTCAAGTCCACAGTACCTGCCCGATCTCAGCTCAAAATCATCCCAGACATAGATGGAGAAGGAAACACCATTATCGGTTCTACACGGTATTCCATTCTCATACCTGACCCCTGGGACAACCGGTGGAAAAGCCCCCAGAAAGCTGCTGTGTATGACCACAAAGATACCAAATATCCCTCTTCCCACCTGTACATCTGGCGGGCATACGTACGTACAGTCCACCAAGTTCACTCTGATATTAGCCTACAAGAAACATCTCTGAATGACCAATTGCAACCACATTCATCTCCGTTTTCCTGGTTAACTTTTCTCCAAGAAGGAATCAAGTTAGCTAACCTCTCAGAACTAACTGACCTAACTTCATGCCTCATGTGTGACTTCTTAGGACAGACTCCCTTCATTGCAGTCCCTTACCCCATCCCTCTCAACCTTTCAGCCTCAACTTCTTCCTTCTCCCCCGTCAGGGAAGTCGATCTCTACACTCCACCTGATTTTGAACAGCTACCTGTGTGCTATTCCCTAGGCCAAAACTTCCCTAGCTGTAACAGAACTATACTGGTAACCACTAATATAACAGCCCCACGAGGAACGTTTTTTTGGTGTAACAGGACCTTAACAAAAACTCTCTACATTGGCCTTTCCTCATCTCTTTTATGCCTCCCAGTAACCCTAGTCCCTCGACTCACTATATATTCTTCAGCCGAATTCCAGATGCTGCAAGCTCCCCATCGCCACACCCGATGAGCTGCCTTCCTACCCATTGCCGTTGGAGTCTCCCTTGCTGGTTCAGCACTTGCAGCAGGATTAGGGGGAGGGGCACTAGTCCACTCTCACCTGGCCATAGCCCGACTGACCTCAACTCCAAGCAGCTATTGATGACTCTACTGAGTCTTTAGCATCACTCCAACGACAGATCACCTCAGTTGCCCAAGTTGCCTTGCAGAACCGAAGAGCCCTGGACCTGCTCACTGCTGAACGAGGAGGGACCTGTATCTTCCTACAAGAAGAGTGCTGTTACTACATCAATGAATCCGGCCTAGTAGAAACCCGAATCGAGAGCCTCCAGAAACTCAAAACTAGCCTGCAGAGTCAGAAGTTCTCGGCTAAAGCCACGGCGTGGTGGTCTTCCTCTATGTATACCCTCTTGTCCCCATTGTTTGGGCCCCTAGTAGCCGTTTGCCTAATTTTACTTATTGCTCCTTGCTTTCTACAGTTCATACAGCGGCGCTTTCAAGAACTGACTCGAGTCACCATCCACCAGATGCTGCTCCAACCCCACCCTGAACGAGTGCAAGAAACAGACCTCTCCCTGAACATCCAGGCTCCTTAAGAAAAGAGACCTCTTCAGAACCCCCCATCGACCCTTGTCAGCAGGAAGTAGCCAGATCGATTCCGCCACCCTTTTCCTTTTTAAGGAGTCGGCAATGTTCGGTAGAAAGTCCTGCCATCTTTCCCCCAGGTTTCTTGCCCCCACCCTCCCCCCAGGCTTCCTGCTGCCCTGAGGAAAGCCCGCCAAGCCTGCTCTGTTCTGCCCAGCAACAACAAGCAGCCAATCATCACAGCAGGAAAGCCCGCCAAGCCTCGGCCTATCCTGAACCGACACGTAACCCTCTGAGCCACCTCAGCAGTCTGCCCAGAGACAGACAGCCTATCCTAAGCTCCTACGACACTCCGCCAGCCCTGTGTCCACGCCCCATCCACCCCCCCTATAAAACCCTCCTACCCCAGCTGCGCAGTCACAGCCAGCCCCGATCTCCTTCCTTTCCTGGCCTGCCCGCTGGTCCCAATAAACCTGAACTCGGCTTCCAACTCTCAAGCTGTTACTTGGGGTCGGGTACCGGGCAGGGGTCTACGAGGGGGTCGCACACATAGTACCTTTTCTAAAGTTTGTAAACTTGTTAATTATCTTGGCGTTTTCTGGGGTTGGAATAGTTCGAAATAAATTTCTATTATTTTTACTGTGTTAGAATTTCTTTACCAAACTGACTTAAACAGGCAAAGCTTAGTAATGTTTACAAAGGAGGATTATTTAAATTTATTTTTAGTAATCTGCCCCAATTCCTCATTTACTGTTATGAACTTGCTGAGGCAGACATATAATTTCTCTGGACCTTTTCAAATCTTTATGTGAGCCTGTAAGTATATAATTGAGGGCAGTTTTCAGTCTTCACTTGTATTAATTTGGTGTATGTGTTTAAAAAAAGGATAGCTAATAGATAAGGGCAGGAATCTCATAGAAAAGGCAGAACTGCACGTAATTTTTACCGTAAGTATTGAAACTAGGGATGACATTTATACGCCTACATAGATAAGTCATCAGGTGTTTTGGAAAATTGGCCACAAAGTGTTTTGAACAATATTACTTTTCTATTGTTGCAGAAATTCAGTTTCAGGAGGTAACGGTTTTGTAAAGGTGCTGGGAAGTGGTAGTATTCTAGATATATTCTGAACATAGAGGCCACAGAATTTCTTGACAATTGGACGTAGGTAAATGAAAAATACAGGCATCAAGAATGACCCTAAGGATTTTGGCCTAAGCAGCTGGAAGGATGGAGTCACCATGCTGTGAGAGAGAATGATTAAAGATAAAATGTTTTTGGGGGCAAATATTGAATTTCAGAACTGTTAATTTTTTTTACTTAAAGGTTAGTGTGACAGAAATGCTAATTGTAAAATGCCTATTACATACCAGTGAATAACTTCCCTTTGCTTCCCAGAATCCTTTTCTATTCTTCTCCTTTACCCTATCCCCCAGTAGACTGATCAATGTTCATTTCACTGGTAGATCCCTTTGCCCTTTGGCTCTTGATTATATCAGTCAGTGGGGAGCGCATAGATGGGAGGGGAAGGAAAGTGAGGTTATAGATCTATTCTCCTGGCTTCCTCACAGTCTTATGTTTTCCCTAGGTTCTCTGTATTACTTACCCTAGCAAGTGTTCCCACTATTTTCCTAGTGGCCTCATCTATACAATTCTCTTCTTCCAGTTTCTAGTAACTATCTTTTCCCCTCCTGGTTTTGGACCTGTAGGTCTTAACAGTTCTGTTGCTGCTGACCCAGAGTTATTGTACTATCTACCCCAGATCCCCCATCCCCTCCCTACAGCTCTGTAAATATTTACTTTGTAAACAAACCTTCCTTAAATCTTCTAATTTTAGCATGCCTTCTGGTTCTTATCTGGACTATAAATGCTATAACATCCAAGTGGAACCGAAGAGGAAGATATTGATTACTCCTGGCATTCAGAAGAGAAGTCTGGCTTGCAGATATAAATTTGGAGTCATTAGCATATAGATGATATTTAAAATTGTGAGTCTGGAAGAGATTACCAAGAAATCAAGTATAGATAGATAGGAGAAAAACAGCCAGAACTGAGATTGATCTGGAAAAAAAATAGAAATCTGCAAAGGAATCTAAGGAGGAACAACTAGTGAGGTTGAAGGAAAACCGAGTTTAGTGTTCTGGAGGCCGCATGAAGAAAGCACAGCAAAGAAAATGAGGGAAATCAGCTGTGTCAAATTCTCCTGTTAGTTGCGTATTATCCAGTCAGTGACTTGGCCATTATATTGAGCAGCATTATAGAGATAAAAACTGTTTGAAGTATTTTGAAACAAAGAGTATAGAAAATTTTAGAAAAGATTTTTGCCTCAGTGGGATGCAGAACAATGAGATGGGAGCTGGTGGTAAAAGTGGAGTCAAGATCAAAAGAATGAGAGGTTTTTATAAATATTCTTTTGGTAATCTCTTCCAGACCCATGACTTTACATACTGTAAACATGCATACCCTTGATTATACGTGATGTTCCAGGGAGTGGAAACAGAATGTGCCAAGCCTGGATCGGAGAGAAATCATAGTGCATTTAAGGAATGAACAATTGCTAGTAGCTCAACATGGCTATAAGATGCAGTGAAAACAAAGATGAGATCTTTAGTTCAATAGTCTGGGAGGTGCTGAGTCCTGTCAACAACCGTGTGACTCAGCTTGCAAGTGGATTCTCCTCTTAAGTGTTGAGATTCCTGCCATCCTGGCTGGTGCTTTGATAATAGCCTGGCAAGAGACTGAGCAAGAAGATCCAGGTAAGTTGTGGCCAGATTCATGACTTGCAGAAATTAGGAGATAATACAGTTTAAATTATAAGATTTTGGAGTAGTTTGTTATCCAGCAACAGATAAAAACAGTGTTTCAGAAAACTACTCCAGATGACAATACAGCATCAAGAATAAATTAGAGAGGGGAAAGATTAGAAGCAGTCACTCAAATGAGGAGTCCACTTATAGAGATGCAGGTGAGGAATGACTAGCTGCAGACTACTGTACTCTTCTATAACCTGGAATGATTTTCTCCATTTTATTTGTGAAAGGAAAATATCTTGGGCCCCCAAAATCACTAAGGAAAGCTCAAGCTGGAAACTGCTTAAGGCAAATCTGCCTCCCATTCTATTTAAAGTTATCCTCTGCTCACTGAGATAGATGCATATTTGATTACCTTCTTTGGAAAGGCTAATCAGAAACTCAGAAGAATGCAACCACTTGTGTCCCACCCATCTGTGGCCTGGAAGCTACCTTCCTATTTCCAGCCCTCCTGCCTTTGCTTCAAGCTGTCCCACCTTTCCAGACTCAAGCAACAGTGCTAGTGCAGCACATATTACAACTGTTTTATTTAAATTTTTGGTACCACAAAAAAAGTAGCACTTGGATATAAATTTCCTCAGCAAGACAATTTACTTCTATAGAAAGGTGTTGCTCACAAATTGAACAATGGCAAGAGCATACATGGATAAGGGAGGGGAAGGGGAATTTATTCCTGATGGAGGTCGCCCCTATTGCTGTGTCATTCCCCTACTGGCTAGGGCTGGACCGCACAGTCTAAGCTAACTCAGACTGGCTATTTAAGAGAGTAAGGCTATGAGCAGAAGTCATGGGGTGGGTAGTTTGGTGGGAAAGACAGTTATGGGCAGGTCAGAGCACGTAACTACGGGTCAAAGCAGGTGACGGGAGCAGGTGACCAGGATGATTCAGAATGGAGCAGGGAACTGGGGGAACAGATATGAATTGCTGATTAGAACTGGTGGAAAAGTTTACTGAAACTACACGTTAAACTTTAAAATGGAGAATTAAAGAATAAGAGAGCTGAATATTCTGACATGCTGATTCTTTAAAGAGAAACTTGGAGTTTGCTATATCTAACACACTGATCCATTCCCTGCAGTTGTCTTATGTTGGCACCTCTATCATAATATACACCCCATGGCCTTTAAAATTCCAGTGAAAGAAGATTTCAGGTTAATCACTGGACTGCTTAAAATTAAGCAGATTAATTTTAAGTGCCTCTGTAACTTAAAATGTAGTGCATTACATTATTTCCACCCATCAATATCTTAGCATGGATGACTTTATCAAAATAACAGGAGCAGGAGAGAATAGATCACAGGACAAGAGGGCTATTTTCATAGATAAAGGGAAAAGAAAAGCATGCTTAATTCCAGTGTCTAGCACCCAGCATATAGTAAGTGTAAGAGTTAAAGAGGAAAGAAACACAAAATGCAGCTTGGCAGTCAAAGACAGGTTTTCTTTAGTTTAAATCTGAGAGGTGCTTCTGCGTGATTGTGGTCAGGAGTGCTTTCTCTTATAGACTAAGAGTATATATTGATTTTAGGGTGAGGGTGCTTATCACAAGCTTGAAATATTTACGTATATGGAGAAGTTTATGGTGGGGTTGGAATCTCTCTGGAAGGAGGGGAGGTTATCTTGGGGCAGACATCTTTCTGGCCTGGAGGGGGGTTATCTCAAGGCTGACGTCTTCTGGCCAGAGGGGGCTTATCTAGGGGCTAGCATGTCTCTGGTGGGGGAGAAATTTGGAATGTTTCTGGTTGGAGATGTTATTTGTGTTTTATGGTCGTGCTAACCTTTACCATTATGCTGATGCCCTTTGGATTTAGGCAATTTTTCATTAAGGTGAACTTTAATGAGGGCCTTGACCAAGATGGTGACACTCCTGCTCTGTCAGTAAGTGCTTGATCAATATTGAATAAATTAACAAACTGGGATATAAAAGCTGGGATGAGATAACTCTCACATTCATGGAAGAATATGAGGGTATAACAGGTTTGGAGGGGGTTGGGGTAGTAGTGGAAAGAGAAAGTGAGACACAAAAGAGGAATTTAGGAGGAGGTACTATCAATAAATTACCAACTTTAAAGTTTTGTCTAGGCCTGCCCTTGGTTAATTTTTAGGAAAAAACTAGAGACATCGTGAAGAAAAAAGCTGAAGACTGGCATATTTAGAGGATCTGAGGTAGTATATTGTATTGCATAGGTTTGAAATAGGTATTTTGTTCCTTAAATATTCAGATAGTAAATATAGATATAGTTTCTAGAGAAATATCCCTCAATGTATTCTGTCTATTTCAGGGAAAGTTCCACTGAAAGAGGCTTCCAGTGTGCTCCGTGATTGAGGATGAAACTAAAAAATTTCAAGTCTGTGGAATGAAAAGATATTGTTTTTATTCCTACATGTTTGGTAGATTTGGAGTTTTGGTGTTGAGATTTTACTGAGCTTTACCTAATGTTATACTAGGTAGGCTGTGTTTACAGGGACCAGAGGGATTGTATGATTATTGCAATTTAAAAACTCAACTAATAATGGAATATATTAAGCTACAATGCCAAGAAGAATTTAAATGTTTCTTGTGTTTCCATTTCTAATTGTACAATTGTCTTTTCTGCTTAATTTTAGAATGCCCATGGCATGATTTAATGTTTTTGGTTTTACTACCATCATATTCTGAGGATAAAGATTAAAGACTTTAATTTATATTTTCTCCAAAGTTTATTATTTTTCAGTAGGTTTTTACTTAATTGTGTAAAATGGTGATATGATTTATTTTAACCTTCAGATTAAGCAAATGAATTAAGCATCATACAGGTAACATTGAAGTTAATATTTATTTGCCCTGTTTCTAAATAAAAATGGAGAACTTAGAGATGTGCTGGGATCACAGTTTGTAATGTAAAAAGTTTTTACACCATGCGCTCTGTTTGGAATATGGATTTCAGTACTTTATGCTTTGGGGAAAAATTGAATATCTTAAAATTCCACCCTTTACACCACATGCACGAGTTATTAGTGAAGTCAACATATTGTGTGACTGTCTTCATTATTACTTTATGACCACATGTGTTTAACTAATAGCTTTTCTTTTTTTATCCTTCCAATGTGCAAAAACTTTCAGAATACA